CTGGTCGCACACTAAAGTACGCTCACTAATTACCAGCAGATGCACAAGATAAGTTTCACAAGAGACTTGGTGTATTACTGACTTGACGAAATGCTTAAGTCATGACCATAAAGTATTGGGCTTTAGTCCGTTCATTCTGCTCACAGCTGTCATAATATTCGTTATAGTTATAGTATATAATATTTGTACTAACAAATAGTCCTGGAGTAAGCAAAAAGCAAAAATCCTGCACTATATTGCATCATATTTTACACGGAAATATCCGTACAAAGCAGTGTGATGAAGATAGTTTATAACTTGCTTGGTCGGAGGCAATCATGTCAACCTGCAGTGAAATGAATGGAAGTTCATGTCTAATATGCCTCTATATCAACCAAGCCATGGATCGATTTTTCACTAGGGAATTCTAATGTATGTTTTTCTCGAAAATTTTGTTAACTATTACGTAGTGAAGATCGGGTGGAACTAAAACGACGGTTTAATGTAAATCTATATTGACTTGAATATTCGTTGCCATTCGCCACCTTTGCTCGCTTATATATTTTCATACGAACTGACGTTGTAAAGGTCAACAAACAATACTTTTTCTGTTGAAGCTCCAGAAAATGTTCGTTTTTGTCCTTTTGATGCTCGTGCTTCTTCTCTTCCAAAATTAAAGTCATATAAATGCTTACAAATTATTCTCAGATCGCGATTTTTTATGTTCGATCTGTCGTTTCGTACCAACGTTTTTCAGCATAGAAAGCTCACAGGACAAAATCGTTTTCTTTCTCATCCAATTTCAAAAACGTGAATAGTTTAAAAGGTTAAGGGGGAGGGGGTAATTGCATCGATGAATATATATTGAGGGACGCAGTGGTACGTAACAAGCTTTGAAAGCTTCCTTTGTGCCAACATTTAAACTGATTGGAGAAGTTTGTGCATGGGATTACCACGAATTTATAGCAATCCTGAAGCTCAGGCGTGACAGTAATATCTCATTGTTAGAAAATCGTCCTCAATTTTATCTAAGTATAGCGCTAAGTTCTAATGAGTGAAGGTGCAGTCGTTCTGTCCACAAATTTGCTACGTCCATTTGATGTAAGTGGACATCAAAGATTGTTTACATCAATTACATACGAAAATATTTAAACGCTCCACGGTGCATTAATGGCAAGAAACCCTTTTATTTTATTTAAGGTAAGTAACTTGTCTACAAAAGTCATCCGACTTAAGAGCTTAACCCAGTCCTAGACGGAGTTAATAAAATGTTCCGGACAGTTTCAAGTTGAGAAATATGCGTGAGTTTTTAAACAGGTAGGCAGATTTGATTTCTTTTCTATCCTGGAATGGAATTTGCAGTCGCAATACTAAGTGGCATTGTCCCGAAGCTTTACATTTGTCATCAACAAACTGCTGCTTAATATAAGATTACGAAGGCAAAAACGTTCAATTGTTTCACGTTTCTACTCCCGAAGCAATGCAGAGTTGCTTTCATAATAACGTTTAAAAAAATATAACTCAGTACTCAGTGCAGTGAGTGACAGAGAGCGCGTTTTCTCGTCGACGAAAACTTGAGGTCATGGACAGACGGACTGACAGACGGACAGACAGACAGACAGACGGACATGGAGAGCACAATAGTGCATTTTTTCCATAAATGAGAAAATGCGCTAAAAATAATAAGCATTTGATAATTCGAATCCCCTTCGTAGCGATGCTCATCTTCTTTTTCGTATTTCCTGAACTCTTGGAGAAATTGAAGCTCATCAAAAGTTTCTCGGTGATCAAATACTTACTCGTGCTCGATCTCAAGATGGCAGAGGCAAGTTTTAGCAATGATTCAAAAGTTTCCCCGACCGTCCCGTACTTCAGATTCTCTCTCAAGATCTAACGGAAACAATCAGGAGTCATTGGTGCCTAATTACCGCCTTGTAGGAACTTCGTCACGTATACCCAGTCGTATAGAAACTTGCTCGCAGATTTAATACTGTATATGGCACTTAGTATTGAATTCTCGCTTACGCCAGCTCCTTTGATCCACTGCGCAGTTTTATTCATTCATACTGGTGCAGAAACTAATTTTTGCATGCTAGTTAGACTTAACACCCAGAAGTCAAAATCAACTACTACACTGTTTTCAACACCGCTGATTGTCTGTAACAAAGTCATTAATTTTTATATGATTACCCATGATTACCCAGACCCATTTATATGATTACCCAGATGTCAGAAAAACAACTTATTTGACAAGGTATTCAGACTTCAGAAACTGCTTGAACATTTCAAACTTAGCATGCTTAGCCAATGCCTGCCATCTACCGAGAGCATATACAGTATATAGTATAGCGTTGCATACACTCTTACCAGTTGGGCTGTATCCAGGCCTTCTACTTCAGATTAGCACACAAAATACATGGTAATTGTACTATTGCCTTGTATTGATTTGAATACGCATCAATTGTACGAAAAACGGCCTGCCCAATGAAAAAAGGTTTTTGATTGTGCCGGCCTTGGATACAATTTAGATTATGAGATAGATCAGCAGTGCGCTGCTGAGACAAGGCAGTGCGCTGCTGAGACAAGGCAGTGCGCTGCTGAGACAAGGCACTGCGCTGCTGAGACAAGGCAGTGCGCTGCTGAGACAAGGCAGTGCGCTGCTGAGACAAGGCAGTGCGCTGCTGAGACAAGGCAGTGCGCTGCTGAGACAAGGCAGTGCGNGCTGCCAGTACATAACGCAGCTCACGGCCATCAAGTCTCACCCAAACCGAGTCGAGCGGCCGCCCTGACGCGCTGGTCCAGGTGACGTGGGTGGCGAGGTGTAGAGGAGACATGGCGCTCACTGCTGCCTCATCAACTACTCTAGAGAAACTGCTAACTACTTCTGCTGAACCATCTTCCTTCCGGCTAACCGTCATATGAACTAATCTGAAAAAGTGAGACACATTACAATGATGAGTAAATTCCATTTCAAATTACAAGGCGAGGCATTCACCGTCTTACAATCACTAGAGTTGTAATAGATCTGTCTCTTATACACATCTAGATGTGTATAAGAGACAGGAGTAAAGGAGATGTGCATGTAATTAAATCGAAAATAATAGCAACGAAATTTGAGAATACTAACTAAATTACAATTCTACTTCGATTTTGATCACTCATGCAAAAATGAACGAAGTTAACAGCATTTACTCAAACACTAAAAAATTACGATTTTTTTCAGATAATGAATAAAATTGGTTAGTGCACGTCGAGAATTTAAATTTCAATTTTTTTGCTCTGAACTGTTCTGAAAATATTTGAACATTACTGGTTGAGCCGTCGTAATTATAAACTTAATTCTCAGGCAGAGGAGGGACTTTCAATAAAATATTTTGTCGAATTGATGAATAAAATTGAATGATTTATCCGCATGATCGACGATCTTTCGCACACGCTAATAAAATATCGTCGGCATCAAGCAACAAGCATTCTAGCCTGAATCAAATGTCCAATGAATTTTTTTCTTTGTTGCATCTCGCAATGAAAGGAAGCCTTCCATTAATGTACATCGTGTAAGTCCCCTATAGCAATCGGCTCTCTGTTACACGGAAAGCCGTCACTCGTTGCAATTGCTGGGGATTAATATAGGGATCGGTTCAAAGTGTATAGTCTGAGTCACAATATGAGAAGAGGTCTATATTTAATTATGCTCTAAACGCGTGCAAATTTAGTACAAGAGGTCTATATTAATTAACTATGATCTGAACACGTGCACATTTAGTAACTCAGGAAAAATCTTCTCTGCACTGCATTTTTCGTAACTCAATGTAATTAAAGAATTAGAGAGCAATGAGTTGATTGATCACGGTATGAGACGCGAAAACAAACCCAGCGAATTGTGGTACCGTGTACCTGTTTAATGGATGTCCTTACGTAGTTAATGCATTAGAAAAATAATTTCAACAATTTTCTCCACATACAATAAACAATTTGAAGTGTTTTGGAGAATCGGTGGTAAATATTCTCCCTTATTATTGCATTGATATAATATCGCAAATGAGGTCGCACACATGCGTTACCCAAAAAAATATTCCAGTCCATTTTATTTTTCTCACTGATAAAATCAATCAAGCAGAAATATTTATTTATGCTTTATTTTATAGTAATGTGTAAACAATTCTCAACAAAGTTTGATCTGTCAACTTTCATCCCGCATCAAGCTTAAAAGAGATCAAGCTTAAAAGAAATAAATTCGAGTTACTTTTGAGGGATTAATTTTCAAACGTACAATTATTTAACGAGGCAAGCTTTTCTTAATTGTCAGCACGTGCAGTAGGCGAGCAGGTGGCCTGGCGTTTCGATTTTAAACGATTTTTCTCTGAATTCGACGTGACAAAGCAGTTTTTCCGATACCAATTTCACGGCTAAGCAGCTTTGTTCTACTCGTTAGGCAACAGCAGTCAATGCTTAAGCCTTTCGTATTGCATCAGGGGCAACAACGATAAAAAACTGGACCAGGAGACCAGTAAGTCTCGATTGTGTCGCCAGGTCTGCTCTTGCATAGAATTCTAGAGCAGTACAGAGCAAATCAGAATTCGTTATGGGAAAATTCTTCCTAATTGAGAAGCTGCGAATGTGATTTTTAAGTGGTAAATATACGAGATGCTTAGTTTAGTCACTGTTTTAAATTGTTGGCACAAAGACTAAGCTCATTAGCTCAGCTCAAGGCCATTTCCGGATGCTAACGAGAACTTTCCTAATGAGCTAGCCTGCAAAATTGTTCCTCCTCAGCGCGCGGACCGTCTAAGTCAGGATCAGAAAAATTTTTATTCATTTTTGTGGAAAAAAAACTTCTTGTGATGTGCATAAAAGACTGGCGATGTTAAACTTCCAGCAGCAGGGAGGCCTACGGTGACTTTAAACTATCTGTACACTTTGATGGGCCGTTGTAAAATCCCTTAAGCCAACCGAGTACGGGAAAAACGGCAAAAAATTTAACTTATGCACACGCTAGAAATAAAATAAAACAGTTGTCACAGATGATCAAGATGATGGTGGTCGTGGTGCTGGTATACACGCTCTGCTGGCTGCCGTTCAACGTCTTAATGGTGAGTGATTAATGCAGGATCGTAATGTACTGATTAAGATTAATTATTTATTAATGCGTCAGTGAAGAACAAGGCATGAAATTAAAAGACTGTATAGTGCCTCAATTTACAATTTTTTTTTTAATTTAGTGCCTCCTGCCGCCATAAACATTATATATTTTTCTATCTTAATAAATTGTTTTTTTTTTAAATCCTACTAATCTGCTGAAGTTCTACCTCTGCTCTTTTAGTGGTCAATCAGTTGGCGTTGACGTTTGGTTCATGAGGCTTCAGGATAATATCAAAGTTTCTAAAGATTAAATATTGGAAATTTTTAGAGAGGAGTCAGAATCAAAATCCTAGCCAAAATATTGAAGACGCTTTAATCTGTTTATTTTACTAGGGTGATTCAACTGTCATTCAAATTTGTATTTGAATGCATCGGTCGTTCATTTTCATTTTTGTGTACAAAATAAATTAAGGGAAAGTTACGCTAATTCAGTGAATTAGTTAAGTGAATTAATTCAGTGAATTAATTAAGTTCAATTTCAGTGAACAAATCATACACATGCCAAAAAATTTTCTGTGAGAGTTTTTGGATCAATGCATGCATGATAATAATTTCACTAAAGGCTTCAAGCATCATAGAATCTGAATCAATAACTTACTTCAGATTAAAGAAAACAATCAGCGCGTTGAAGAACTCAAGATAAATGAGGCGTTACATCTGATGCCACGGAGCTCGATTCATAATTACCAATTAATATGATGATTGTAATAGATAGTGTGACAGTATAACAACATTCAATGCTATCGAGGCTTTTATAAGCATCGCTATTACATTATTCGCCAATCATCGAAGATTGAAGAACAATATGAATTTCTCGCAGGGGTAAACATTCTATTACCTGGAATTTGCCCGAGCTCGGCCCCCACAGTAATTAACATGATCATTGTCTTGATTATTTACTTAGAATTACTGCAGACTAGATCTCTGCTTTGGAAAATAAGGATTGTATTCCTTTACATCAATACCAGGATATAAATAACTCAAAAAGTGGACGATGACACGCACGATATTTCATCTATTACCGATCGCGCGTTACTATAAAAAAATTCATGCAAAAACGCTTGACATGAAATATAAACAATCATTGATTAATTATCATTGGAAGACTGTGTGCCGTTCAACTGCTTTGCCAGGAAGCCTTTCTGAATCTCAGCTCGGAGACCCATTGTTTGAGTGAACTCGTTTCAGTCAGATCAATGCATGGGGCATATTGCCCAAATTGTGAAACACTTTATCGCCCACAACATGCAGATAGCGGACGTAGCACTAATACGCTTTTTTGCAGGACAGATCTGGGTCAGAATGATTCACAAAGACGCAAATAGTGTATCGGCATTTAAATAAAGTCTTCGTTTGTCATAGAGTAAGGCCGTAGCAGGGCAGGCATGTTATGGCACAGCAAACAAATGAAAATATGCAAATTATTAAAAAAGAATTGAAAATGAAGCAAAAAAATCTTGCTTTGTTTAAATTCGCACGCTGAAACCAATCGTTTGTCATTGAAAACTATATCAATTTCAGAAAATAAAATTCATTGCAGGACGTTCATATTCAACTTCAGCACACCTTTACATAAGACGCTCAAGATATCAAGTCAAAATGCTTTTGACTTCCGCTAGCAACGGTCATGAGTTGCCACACAAATCCTTTTACGAGTTGTTTGTATCTGCGACAAAATATTCCAGAGTGAGGCCGGGAATAAAACTGCAGCTGATATTCTTCTATACCTGCATATGTCACTCTTGAGTTCCACACAATAACGGATGCAGCAGCCCTTATTTTACAAGTGTCTGATCTGACGCGAGTGTCAACGCGTCGAGCAAACGTCGCTGTGTGTTAGAGTCTTCCACCACACTTCTTTTCTCGCAATTTTGCGGGAATATTTACAGTAATTCAGCCCGCAGCACTGGAGTCAGATTCGTCTTACCAGTTGAGAAGCCTGTGCCTGCTACAATAATATTATTTTTGATGTATTCGTAAAACATGATTTCTACTACTGGGTCATGGCATTGCAAAGTAAAGATAGGTTAATTTAAATATCGAGCTTATATTTATATATGAAAAATATTAATGTACTATATATCGGTTATATTTCTTAGCATGTTTTAACAGAATTTTTAAGAATATATAATACAAATACTGCATTAATATAGCTGCTTAAAGCACCCTCTCAGCGATGCTTACTCAAACAAACTTAAAATGAGACACACCTTCGTATTATCAGGACTGTTATTATAGTGATGAACGAGTCAATACTAGTGAGTTTTGTTATGTAAATTCTGCCTTCCTGAAATTGAAGATAAGAAGAAATAGTTTACATGACATATTATTAAAAGATATAATTTACATACGAATCGAAGTAAAGACTTTTGAGCTCTGGAGCGCGTCTGTAGCAAGTAATACCGATATCAGTAGAGCGATAAGTGTATTATTTGGAGCCAATCCTCCGTTGTTTCTCAGCGTAACGGTAGAAAATATTCGCCCAATTCATGTGGAAATGAAAAATAAATATTGCTGTTTGTTCTTTACGCGTTCTTTTAAATGTTTATCAACAAATAAAAATCGAGTTACAGCATAAACGAGAACTTGGATGTTTTATAACAAAATCAATTAAATATTTATAATACACTGATTAAATATGTTTGTATTAGTACGTATAACCAATACGCGGGCAATGTTGTTACAACGAAAATTGTAACAATGAAATTTCGAAAAAACTTTTATGACCTGAATTTCTCCAAATAACAGAAATCAAGTAAATGATTCAAAAAAATTAAGACTTCGGAATTTTTAGACGATGTTTGATCATAACTTCGATGAGTGATGAAATGTTTACGTAAAAGTTGTCACGCCGGCGCTTCGGCTGCCGAAATTCTAATTCAAATGACATTCAAAGGAAGAGTTCAAAGCTAAATCATTTAATGTTAAAAGATAAGGAATGAATGAACTAAAGTTAACAGGCATCATCAAACTGTAATTGACATTTAAATAAAGTAAAATTACCGCCAAAATTAATTACCAATAACAAAATAAAATCTTCTCAACGCTGAAAATTTGTCTCTTCAATCCCTATCCTGCTTCTCAACAGTAGTCAAACCTACGTTATTATCATTAGAATAACATTGATAAATATAAATGAGTGAGCATTGATGTATAGCATTAAGAAATATAAATGATTGAGCATTGATATAAAGCATTGAGTAATATAAATAATATTAATGATTTTCATTGAAGCTTGTAAACTTGTGATCGATCATCTGATTTCGATTAAATTGCGATATTTTTCTGAAGGTGTCGCAGCAATAATTTGCTTCCGTGATATGAAGAATATTGGCTGGAATTTCCCCCTGGTTTCATTAGTTTTCTTCGTGTGTGTATTTACTTCAACATTCAGTATTAACGACACAATTTTTAGTTCAAGCAAATTACCGAGATTATTGCATTTAAGTTGAATTCATAACTTCAGCCATTTCTGAGAAAAGAAAATTTAAATTCAACTCTCAAAACTCAAGGTGATTGTTCTGGAATAACAATTTTTTTTCAGCCAATTTACTGACGCTCAAAACTTATAATTGACATGACAGCACAATTACAACTCCAGTGATAATATCTTCGTTGATAAAAGACAGTGAAACTCGAAATCTAATTAACGCTTCCTTCACAATAATCTAATTCAGTGACGTCAACTCCCACTTTGCGCCAAAGATTTCAGTCTTTTCTACACCAATCGGGACCTTTGTTTATTGTAGTCAACCCCTAAAGCCAAGCCTATAGTTCAGCGATAACAACCACTTCACTCTGTTCACGTGTTGGCGGTAAGTTGATCTTCTGTGGATCGTGGCACCGATTGATTCAGCGTTGCTTACAAGTAACTCTGCCGCAAAGCATCAGTTGGAGGGCTGAAAAAACCATTGATTAATTCAATAATCTATTGCCACAGCTGCGTCGTCGCACACTACAAGAATATAATTACGAATTTTTGAGGACGATTAATCTTATTTGCTGATTAAACACAATTTATAGAGACCGCGGCCGTTGAAGACCTGATGATCCGAAGCGTGCTGGGCGCAGGCCGCTGCTTGATTGCAGGAGATTATTGAATTTTTCGTTGAAATTCAGCTTCAAATTCAACAGATATGAAAACGTAGAATATTAGAATAGGAGAACAGAAACTGTTCTTTTAAAAAGGTTTGATTGAACCCCGGAGGATTTGTTTTATGATAATATCCTTATTAGTTTTTCTTTCGATGCATCGATTTACCAAAGCCAACGAAAAATGTTGTTTGTTTTATTAAAAAAACAATAAGAAAATTGTCAAAAACTAATTCTGTAGCATTCGATCGAACCTGTTCAAAGAAACACCAAGAAGCATATATTCTAAATCAAATCATTATTAACACATTCATTTCTAAAGTGAAAATTACCAATTTTCGATGCACTCTACGTTTTAGACACAGAACCAGCAACAGGTTTTAAAGAAAACAAGTAAATTTTAATTTAATTCTCTCTAATTTCAATTCAATTTCAACACTGAGATGAGATTGCGGCATTAAACATGCAAGTAAAACGAAAATAGTAAAATTTAACAATGCGTTTCCAACGATTTCAGCGATGAATTCCCTTTCCTCAAACAAGAAACTGTTCCAATCTTTCTGAGTTCCATCGTATCTATAATACCTGGATGCAGCCTCCCAGCATACGTCAAATACCTCCATATCAGTGACTAAGCGGCAATAAAAACTTGAAAGTTATTTTCAGATGATGAATATGGGGGCAAGGGTCGAAAGAATTCCATTGAGCGGCAGAGAGATGCTGTTACCATCTATCCGGTTTCTTCGTTTGCATGGTTTTTTTTTCGTTCTTGATATCAAAATTGCGAGTAACGCAGTAATTGTATATTTTTTTCCATATTAGATCATAGCTGATTTGTGGAATCGGATCCTCATCAAAGAGAACTTTTGATGCGCAGAAGTCATGGTATGTTTAGAGCACAATATGATTCAACATATGTGATACAATGGTATGTTTAGAGCCCTATATATGACTCAGCATATGTACAAAAACAAGGATCGCGTAATAACGAAAAAAAACTCATACACGGAACTGGGATTGTATGGAGACCAAGTAACTCATACACAGAAAAGTAATTCATGTAGTGACAAAGTAAATCACACAGAGGAACTGGTATCTTGTAAAGACTAAGTAACACCTACACAGAAACAGGAACCGTGTAGTAACGAAGTACCTTACACGGAAACTGGGATTGTTTAATGAAGAAGTAACTCGTGCATGAAAGTAGTATCATGTAGTAACGAAGTAACTCGTATGAGTTAGAGTAAATTTTAGCTCAAGAACCGATGAAGTGCATTATTCCTTTGACATTCATGTGTTGCGAGAATATACCTTTATTTATTTAACACAGATGACGTGCATAAAACAGTCTACGGATCTCACAACCAGTATTTGCTTTACTTTGTTCCACTAAGTCGATCAATATCTTTGCTGCTAAACATTTTTGAGAAGTAATAAGTCTTGATAATCCATACTGGATTTTTGAAGTGCCGATTTGGAATTCAAGTATTACGATACCATCAACAAAACAGAACGAATTTACATATCCCAAAAAGAAGTTTATAATATTTCACCTTCGAGTATTTATACACAATAAAGTTATTGCTGTTACGAGCACAAAATAGTTGTTATTTAATTCGTATTGGAAACAAATATGAAATTTTTTTTAGTCGACTCAATTAAAATATTTGACGTCGCCAGCCTGCATTAGCCTGAGCTTGACGATGCAATAAGTAAAGGGGTGAAATTAATTAATTTAATCATGCAACGTCCTCTTAATTACTTAATTTTAACACCAAAGCTCCTCAGATGCTGCTGAGAAATTAATTGATTTACACATGTGTCTCTGATGCATCCATAATGGATTGAAAAACTATTCGCGGAGCGACTTTCGGTTAAAAATCGCTATAAAATAAGTTTGATGCACTAAGTATTTCAAAAGAAAAGTTCATACGGCTTTTTTAATATTAAATTCAGCCTTTGAAACTACCTTCAAATGAACCTCACGGTAGGAGTACCTTGACATCCTTTTCATTGTTGATATAAAAATCTAATTCAGCAACTTTATGCTGAATTTTTTTTCCCCATTTTTTCAGCATAAAAATTTTTAATTTCCAATTCAATATATCAGCGAAATTGAAAAATATTGAAGACTTTTTCAGTTCACTAAAATTAGTTCAGTTTCATATTGACATTAAAAGTTTCATTATCACTGGTTTAGCGAAAATACAATACGTTTTTTTTCTAAAATAACCACGATCAAATATTTTCCGTTGACAAATGGCAGAGAGCAAGACTTGAAATATTTTCTTGTGAGATTAAATTCCCAGCAAAGGCCTGCAATCGCTGGGAAAGGATCGTCCTGAGAGTTATGAGCCCCAAGGAATGGCTTGAAGTGACGTCGAGAGTTGTGAGATGCTCACTAGACCCTTCAATAATACGTCTCAAGACCTTTTCTGACATTAATCACACACCTTAACGGAAGTTGAATGAAGATTAAATGATTATCGAAATTTGATTATTATGGTGTATTTTGTTATCGCTACAACGAGTTGCCATTACTGGCAACAATTACGGCAAAGGAAAAAGGATTTGAATCAACGTAAAATACAAGAATTATGGGCTTTCAATCAAGAAACTTTGCAGGCAAGAGCCGGTGCACCATGTGTTAACCCTTGACGCAGGTCCTAGAATAAATCAGTTACATCACGAGAACATTTTTTAACATGCGTGGTTTTGCCATAAATTGGATGTATATGTCTTCGCTAGAATCCTGCTTTGCACAAAATACGTTTGTTTCGTGACGGTAATCTTATATGTAAGTTTTATTAGCGCTATGTGGGAAAACCATGTTGGGTTAATACAAACGATCTTATTATATAGCCACAATGCAACAGGCCGGTTTTTTTAAGTATAAAAAACTTATACTATGCTCTTGACTCTTGATGAGCGAAATTTGTTTAGAAGTTTTAAGTATTAAAAGTAACATTTCAACGCGCGACTCAATGTCTTTAGGAGCCCAAGGCTCCCCAGGATGCTAAATATAATAATTTCAGACACGATGCTGCATAATGATACGCTACACTGGCACATGAAGCCTTACACTAACATGAAGCACGATATACGCCCACTATGCATTCATACGTGGTGCACGAAACACACCCGACTCTCAACACTAGCACAAGACGACCTCATCACACACAAATATCACTTTTTTGACATGTTGAGCAGCGGATTCTAACCGCATGAGCTTTCTTAACTACTCATTAATAAGCCAAAACTCATTTAACATTAATAAGTCAAAACTCATTTAACATTAATAAGTCAAAACTCATTTAACATTAATAAGTCAAAACTCATTTTTCAGGTGGTGCGTTCAGTGAAGTCATCAGTAGACGGTTGGCCGGGGATGATATACCTGTGGACGGCACTTCATTGGCTTGCCATGTCACACACTTGCTACAACCCCATCATCCTGTGCTGGATGAACAATAAGTTCCGGTCTGGTTTCTGCTACATCGGCTACCACTTCCCCTGCCTGCGTCGCTTGGTCGACTCGTGCTTCATGACGAAGAGAAAGGAAGATCTCATGAGGGCGACAACCCTAACTTCAACTCAAGGCAGTTCGCGAAGATCCAGACTCATCGTCACCATATCTCTAAAGGACGACTCAATCATCTTCAAAAGCCGTCACTGTAACGGAGCTTCAACCTCAACTCAGGACTGTCAATCTAATTTAGGTCCTAGGAAATTCCTGAACGCGCTAGAAGAGAGCAGTTCTGACTCAAGATTGTGATGCGGATCGCACTCCATACACAAGACCAAATCATGTAAATATTGCCAAGGCACCGTAAAGCAAACTGATGGCACAAGTGATCGTTGTCGGGAGGATCGGGAGGTAAAGTCGAGTGTGAAGACGACAAGAGAAGCGCTGGGAGACTTGGAATGGCTTCCCCTCAACCTCCTCACGTCGTGAACGTTCATTTATATCACTTCTCAAATGTAATTAATGATCTTGTAGTACGTCTAGATGGTGTAGTCACACGTTGTAGATGCAAATCAATGCTGCTTAGACTGTAAATTGTTTACATAACATCAATGCATAGATTTATCGAAATTAAAAGGCTTTGACAAGGATTTTTACATAATTTACTTTCACGATCATTTCGAACATTTCTTCTGGATTAAGCCAAATTATAATGAAAATCCATATGAAAATTCACAAGATTATTGTTTCGTTTGCAAATTTGTCTTTTAATGTTTTAAGCTCTTATTTAGTTTGGGTAAAACGTCTGCCAAACCATGAGGGACCGAAGCTTCGAAGTTCATTTTAATTTAATAATTTGCGACGTTAAGATGACGCTTTGCATTATGTATATGAGGCTCATGTTTACCTTGAATTGTTTCTGTGTAAAGCTTTTGGTCAGCAGAGATAATAAGTAAACGAATAATTAATAATATGTAATTCCCGTGTTATCTTATTTCTGTCATCTTTGCGAACAAATAAGTGATTTAAGAAGGCTGTCTCTACATATAGGATTATGTCCTTCGCGTTTCATTAATTGATACATTTCATCTCTCGTGTGATGTTTGTCTCGGTGCATGTTAGTGTATCCAAAAACATATCCGTGCACGTAGACTTGTGAGGGTTAAGTGATATCTAGACCAGGCGCTGCACTGTAGCAATGTGCCACAAAGAAATCCTTCGTGTCTCACGCGTGCCGTAAGTCTATATGTTTGTATTCTCTATATGTTTATGTCAATCCCTTTGCTCATAAATTCCTTCAAATAAATCTTATTCCAAAGACAATAATGGAATAAAATGAAGGAACAACGTGTGATTTCAATCAAATGCTAATAGCTCAGCGTCAGCTATTCCGGCATTTATAGTATCCCATGCTGTAAATTTATATTGATAAGATAGAAGATAAACTTTATAGAATGTTTTGCTAACCAAAGTTAATGCAGATAGAACATTAAAGTATCATGTTGCGAACTCAACAGCCTCTTTCTGCCGGCTTGTTAATAAAACAGGAAATCTAATTATAATTATTTGAGTTGTTTTTGACCTAATAATAAATCAGCTGGACGAGAGTATTTGATGTACGAATTAATGTTTTGGTTTGTTGTGCAGTCAAGCGAAGTAATTGGAGCGGAAGGCAAACTTGCATATTATTTGAATTGTCTCTTCAATAGCGCAGTGTCCAAAATAGAGTGTCTTCCAAAATACAACTTGTGATCTTTGAAAAATCATAATTAATTGAAACGAAAAATATCAACACGTTTCATCACTAAATAAAAAGCAAAAATAGGAGAAATCATGTCAGCTCAGGGGACCTGAAGTAATCAGCAAATCAATGCGCCACTATTTCGGGTTATAATTTTTCCAGTTTAAAGATCAGATACTCTTAAACTTCAATAGGTCCACGACAACCAAATTATATTATATCAAACAAAATCAGAATACTTGCAAGCTTTTGCTTCAAGCACCAAAACGAATAAATAAATAATATTGTTCAAATCCAAAGTAAAAAAATTCCTATCCAAGATTTTTATTCTAGCGTTGAAAAGATCAAACTTGGCGACAATGACATCTTCCTGGAAACACATACGCAACAGCTTAATGCGGGCGAAAAGTTTATAACTTTATTACATCATACACTAAATTTGAACAAATTAGCACTGCTGAAATGCAAACAATCCAAAACCAGAAAAAAACCTCAGTTGAATAATTTCTCGACTGAAAGTGATTGAAATCATTGTTAGCAATAATTCGGGTTATTTTTAATGAGCAAGACTTTTTCGCGTAAACAGGGTCAACCAGGGTGTAGCCATTTAAAAGTTCAACAGCCAACCCATCTAACAACTTTCTGGCGTATTTTTCCTTTCATGTTTTTAAAGTCGAACTGAACTATTGGAAACTCAATTCAAAACGCACGAATTAAACTGGCTTGATCTTACGGTTCTAGCGGACCTGGAGGCTTTTAATGTTTACGATGCAGATTCTGCCTCTGTCCTGCATGAGTTATGAAGGGAATTTATGCGCTAGTCGAGACTCGTTAGCTCCCAATGGCCGTGCGAAAAGCCCCAGTGATTTATTTACACCGATTATAAACGTTGAGAAGGCTAGTAGAGAAGGGGAAGGCTGTAATTAAATGCAAGCTTCGTGTTTTTTCATTTAGACCATCCCGTGTCTATTCATCATGCTTGCGAGATCATATTTGTTTAGGTAATATTTCTCGATTAAAATGCGTGACGTCGTCCTTAAATAGTTCTCTCGAAGGATCATAGTAAAGCACCAATTACTGGCAATTGTCGCCTTCCGGCATTGATCAAAATCAAATTTTGAAATAGTTATTCATTCGTACAGCAATTCAGAATACATCACATCAATTTTTTCATAACGTTTCATTCGAAATTGTTAAATAAAATAAGTTTAAGTGATCAATAATTATAATTCACGCTCTGTCCATTCATCTCGTTAACAAGGACAAAAATTCTAGCTCATCAACACAAGATGCATAAAAATGGCGTTTTAACTTTTCAACGCGTTCAGATTTTCCAGTTTTCAAATTTTCTTCTGGAGAATTTTTATTTCCGAACAAAGTTCACGGCCGCTGCTGAACATTGCTGCATTTATTTGAAAAAAAAAAACATTGCTGTATTTATCCTCCTCGCTGTAGTCGCTTTCATCTCAACGCTAGAAAAATAAAAAGTACGATTCCAAAATATCACACGGAATACAACTTTTGAAACCGACCTGCAAGATTTGTAACCTTTATAAATTCCTAACCCATGGGAAGGAAAGGAAGCAAACGCATGATTCAATATCAAGGCAGTTTCAACTGGAAAGATTTCTTGAAAAAAAAACTATATTTTTGTATAAACAGTTTTCTCCTTGTGGCGGCACGCAAATTTGTTGACCAGCATCAGTAACAACGACAGCAAGCAAACAAGGGCCTCATCTAGCGCCAAGTTCAGTAAGCGCTTCACGACATAATACATAAGAACATAAGCTAAGGAGGCAACGAAACGCTTCTTTGTGGCTGAATAGCCGTTCTTCTGAAGCACAAATTTCTACAATAAGTTGAACAGAGTGCAAGTATATTATCCAATGGACAGATATGCAGAATTTAAAAAGAGTGAGTGAAATTTACATTACTTCCCAGAGCTGTGAACCGCCGTTCACTGGCGTTACTTCAGTTCAGCGTATGCACACTCAGGATTAGCGCCAGCAACGAACTTAGAAAAATATACTCTAATAATTGTTAGTAAAAAGTCACAGATGTTTTTCCAGTACAGCAGATAATTTAAGATGTTTTATTTCAGATTTTGGGCACCTTGAAATGCAGACACTTTAAATGTAACACCAGCTAAGAAAATATACTCATGCAGTAGACAGAGGCGAGAAGTTGCAAGCCACAGTCAGGGAGAGGTTACACTGAGAGACAATAACCTAACGAAGATCAGTAATTAGACGCTTCTACTGTTATTGCAGCAACAATAACTAGGCTCATCGACTCTCATCCCTCCAGACGTTGAAACGACGTTGATCCCGAGTTAATATCGTTGAAACTACATTTATTCAACGTCATTTCATCGTCAGATGTCTGTTGGTAAAGGAACTGCCTTCCCGACACACGGTCTAGTTTATTAATCTCAATTACCAATAATTACAATTCATCATAAAAAATTAATGTATTCATCATGAGGAAGCCAGACATGAACGATTCTCCATTGTTCTCAAAGCTATTGCCTAAGAAAATTAGGCAGATTCAATTTTAGGAAATGATATTACGATTTTTTCTTTAAAAAATACTATATTATGTGAGATCAGAGGCATGCGCGACCAAAATACTCATAATTATTAACAAAAAATTGCATTGAACATTACAAATTTATTCATTCACAAAATCACTACAAGACACATCACTCAGGACCCTGAATTCAAATTTGACGATATATCTTAATTTGTCGAGAGCTTCGTGCAGCATTGCTGCTTGCAGCGCGGAGAATAGCGTCGCGGCATAATTGAAATAATTCTCGCGTGCTATAATAACGCTGACAGCCTGCGTCAAGAGCTGCTATGACAGCGCTTAATATTAGGTCTCAACTTGCAAGCAATAATGAACCTAGATTCTCATTAATATATACGATATTTCAAAGTTTTAGGCTGTTTTTAGCGCATTTTCTCATTTATGGAAAAAATGCACTATATTGTGCTCGCCATGTCCGTCTGTCTGTCTGTCTGTCTGTCTGTCCGTGACCTCAAGTTTTCGTCGACGAGAAAATGCGCTCGTCACTCCTGAATTCACTCACTGCAGTGAGTACTGAGTTATATTTTTTAAAGCAATCCTGATCTAAATCCTTACCCCGGAACAGACAGATACGTTGACGCAGCAATCTACGATCGTATTCGCAATGTCGAAAATTTGTGCGATTGTTGCTGGTGTCAAAATTGTTTCTGGAATCTTGGTTGTCTTGCTCTCAGAGCAAATATTGTTCAGTTAAGGCTGGTCATGGTGCAATTTATTACTTTCTCGCATCCAGGAAGCATTTCGCGAGAATTAGCTGACATTAGTTGGATTAAAGTTTTTTTATAGAAAGTTATCTAGAAAAAGTGAGAATAACCAATGGAAATTGATAGTTATGTCTAGGCACACTCGTTGCATTTATAGAGAAAAAAAACACACGAAACATGAAAATAAATGAAACCAAGATTGTTAAAATAAGAGTTTTTTTCAGTTTAGCGATGCCAAAATCCACCTAACCTAACTTAGGAGAAGACTAGTTGCAGCGACAAGAGACTCGAAGGAGGCATCTCTTTGAGGTGGGACTAATACTTATAGCTTCAACTTACGTACCTTCTCGTAATCTAAGGATCAAATTAAATTCAGCTCTTGCCTAACTCGCTATTAAGTTACCCCGCAGCTAGAGTTTTGTTGACAATGATATTGGTATCAAGACATCGAGAATTTTTTTACTCCGGAAAACTTTTCAGAGATCATTCCTATGAAGTTAGGTCAAGTAAGCTTGGGTGAACTCGTCATTAGTTTTATCATAATATTATACTTGGGGCTACACGACTGAAGTGACTCTCGATTTTCGACAAGCTTGAAACTTCTAACAAAAATAACGTTACATACAATGATATATGTTTTTTTATTTCGTAATAACACTCGAATTACCTGCCACATTCGAAATCATGGCTTCCTATGTCCTTATATTTTGAAAAAGATAATTCTGTTTCTCTTCTTTATATCCAAACCTAACCATTGAAGTAGTTTTAAAAGGTCTGAGACGTCATCACACCTAAGAAGTTCCCTCAGTAAATCATCAATTATTGTGCCGCTATGATAGAAGGTTATGAGAGGGCTGAACATCGATCATCATTCATTGCA